GACAAACATTGCTGATGGACGAAGAGGCCAGCGGAGGTCATGACGGTGGGGTCGACAGCATCGACGGCGCAGAAGGCGGAGACGACGTGGGAGGCGGTTTGGAGGCAGCGGAGGCTGAGGATTCGGAGTTGGGCCAGATTTCCGATTGTGTTGGCCGGAATATGACCCACGAGGACGGCGACGGGAAGGCGGAGAGAGAAGACGAAGGAGCGAGTCGAGTCGCAGACGACGCCGACCCAGTTGCAGGCCGAGTCGGAGGCGTTCCAGTACTGTAACGGATCAGGATCCGAACCCGATTGGGTCTGTGATGGTGGGGCTTCTTCGGCCATAGGGATTCGAGTACCGATACAGACGATGAAGACTCCGCACGAAGTGGTGAAGACGTGCGCAGAGATAGAGAGGAAGCTTGTGTGTTGGAAGATGAGAGGTCCGGCGGGCGGCCGAGGCCCCCCCCCCCCCCGCCGGTGAAGCGAAAATACGAGGTTCTTAACCTTACTCTGATACCATGTAAAAATATATGTATTATTGATTGATGAGTTGATGATTGATATATGATTCTGTTACAATTGATTGATTATATAGATGTAGGTTAGGTGGTGGTAGGTGAGGAGTTGGTGAGTGTAGTAGGTGAGTGTGTGGTAGGTGATGGTAAGTGTGTGGTAGGTGATGGTAAATTCTAACAATATGCTCTTTCGAAAGCTTTCACACTCACTGGACCAGTGAGTGTAACCCCAAAAATATGGAAATTATATTCAGTTACTTTTATCCTGCTTTTGTCAATGATCCCTATTCTTATCAGTGTGTCTGATTCTTCTTTCTTTGTGCAAAGCCAACATGAAAACCTTCTAATCTGAGCCCCTATAATCTTTCATTTTTTATTCCCTCCCTTCTATGGGGTGTTTATAGCTTTTAATTTTTGAAAAGTTATTTTAGACTGTTTGATTAAACTTATTTCAAACAGTTTTTTATTCTAATAACTTATTTTAACTCAAAAAGTTGATTCTGAAAAGATTCTCGCCTCTCGCTTCTGATCATTAACTTCTGCTATGGATATGCTAATTTACAAGTATACTCTTAGATTTTTTATTTTTTTAAAAATAAAAAAAGACCCAAATGGACTATAGATTATTATTATTATTATTTATAAGAAATGTAGACAAGTAATGAATAATAAGAAATAAAAGTTAATTGAAAAAACTACTTCTCAACTTATTTATAAAAACATTACTCAAAAACTTAAATCTATAATCCAACTGCTACACCAAACAGATTAACAGCTTCTGATTAAAGTAATAATCTATAATCTGTTAAGTTATAATCTATATTTTATTTTAACAGCTACACCAAACGGGACTTATGTCTCAATAGTATCGCATCTAATTAGTCTAATGATTATCAAGTCAGAAATTCACTTTTATATATATCCAAACTTTAGATTCACGATTGACTAAGATACATTGTGTAATCTCGGTTATCCCAAACAAACAGATTATGCATACAATTTGATATGAATGAAACCATTCACAAGACAGCCTGGTCCACAAATTTAAATTGTATGCATAATCTGTATTTCCCTACTTTGTTGATGTAATTTTGCATGTATTATACTTTTTCATCAATAATATGTTTTTTTTTTTACTAATCAAAAAAATACATATATATATATATATATATATATATATCAGGTTAAGAATATATAGTAAAAATGTATGAAATAAGATGTAAAAATACATGAAATGTGCACTGGATTGTTGAGATTTATTTTTTAAGTATGGCTTACATAATTTCGAATGTCAAATGAAATTGATTTTTTTTTTTTGTCTAAAAATAGTTCATTTGCATAAAAATGTTTAAATAATAAGTCTTATATCAAAATCCAACCAGAAAAATTATTTTCAACAGGACCTCAATAGTAAAGATTGTCTCAAAAAAAAAAAAAAAACCTTCTTTATGAAATTTCCCTTTAGACCTTGCTAAAAGTTGACCCGACGTTGTAAGAGGTGAATCGTTTTGGTAAAATTATCGGTTTTATCCCTCGTTATATGAAAACCTGTCCTCTAGATTTATTAGATTTGTAAATGATTTTTCAATTGTTTTGGCTAGTTCAATTGTGGATATCGAAAAATGATAAACTGTTTTGAAACAGAAATTATCATATGATTAAAAAATACCACATTATCTTGCATAGTAGTTGTTGTTTATCATGTTATTAGCATAGTTCTAAATCGCGGTATCGGGTAACGTAACGGTATCGATCGCGAAATATCGGTATCGGTAGTATCGGCCGGTACGTATCGGGAATCGGGTATCGCGGCCGTGAAATTTTAAAAATCATTAACAATCCTTCTGAAACTCAATTTTGTACATTTTTTTTTACTCTTTTAACCTTAATTTGTCACATTTTAATCAAAATTTTGATATATAAGGGCACTTTTAACTAATTTTTAACTAAATGATATATATTTATTTTAGTCTCAATTATAACTTACAATTATCTACGATTTAAAATAAATCCACAACAGTATACCAACTAGACAGTATACCAACCCAGTGGTATTACCAACTAGACCCACGAGTTGGTTAAAAAACATATGGGCCAAGATTGCCCAAAACAACCCACCAACTATCTTGAGTAAAATATTTTGGCCCAAAACTATCACTAGACATTTATATAAAATATGAATATAAAGGTTGCTTGCTGCTGTAGCCTCAAAGCTTCAATGGCGCACGACCCAGAAAGGATTCTGAAACACGCCGGATGCTATTACCTTCCAAACCATAAAAAAATAGAGAAAGAAAAACATGACTCTATCTACCCTTTCTAGCCATGTAAAACATATCCAATTTGAATGGGAATTTCTGGTTCACTAGTCTAACCAGCTAATTTGGAACTGGCAGCAGCAGCAACTGGTTAGACTAGTGAGCTGCCTAACTCACTTAGGTGGTTTGCCTCCCAAAAGATGCAGCAACTGGCAGCAGCAACAACTTGCAGCAGCAGCAAAGCAGCTCTGCAGCAGTAGTAACAACTAAGTGCTTATTGGTCTTCCAGCTACCATTATAAATTTGAGTGGAGAGTAATTTCTTGAGGGTTGAGTGTTGGAGAGAAACCAAATGAGGGTTGAGTGCACAAGATCTTGGTTATGGAGGCAGCCACTCTACTATGGAAAAACATAACATTGATTGGCTTCTTTTGTGTGTGCTTCTGATTTTAGGATTTTAGGATTCAGATTTTGAAGAAAGTAATCTACTGCAGCAGTTAGCAGATGCTTGCTTAGTTGTTGATGCCATGGAGCCATCTGTAAGGGAAGAGTTGGTTCAAATTTTTTGCAGCAGGGAGCTTACTTCATATCAACAGATCTTTGAAGGAGCTGGTTTGTCCAATTCTATACTTTGTTTTCATTTAGTTCATTTACCACTCGCATAGATATTTTTCTTTTGATGACCATCATCTTGAAAGTTTTCATGTTAACTATTTCATTAGAACTAGCAAAGTTGGATAAAACTGAAAGGAGATATGGTTGGATTAAGCGTCGGTTAAGAACAAATGAAGAAATCTGGAAAATTTTTCCTCCTTCATGGCATGTTCCTTATTTGCTGTGTATCCAGTTCTGCAAGTTGACAAGGTCTGCCATTTATTACTCTTTTGTTTGTTTGAATATTCATCTGTGTTATGGAAGAACTCATAATGTGATCATGATACAGTGATCAATTTTAAAACATAGGTACTATCCAAATGTACATGAGGTTTTTGACACTGCAAACCCACAAAAACCTTAAGGGCATGTTTGATTGACTGGAATAGAGCATGAGATTGAGATTATTAATCCGTGGGCCCAATAATCTTGTGTTTGTTTGGAAATTTTGTTTCAGAATTATTAATCCAATAGATAATTAATCCAACAAATTTGTAGGATTATTAGTAATGGGGTAGGGGTGAGATTATATATCCTGAGTTGGGAAATAAAATAAAAAAATTCTTTTACCCTTGAGTAAAAATTAAAACACTTATTATTTTTATATAATTTTATATTTTAGAAGGCTAAAAGTAATTTTTAAAAATTTAAAAATATTTTTTGATATTTATTTTATCAAATTAATTTATATTGAAAAAAAATTAAAACCAAACATGGCTTTTGTATTTTTATTTTGCTTTTATTTATTTATTTATAATTTTTTTCAAAACCACGTTTATGAAGAAATTTTGATAAAGTAACGATTGTGAAGAAACATTGATAGAGGGTAAGATTGGAAAAGAAGATAAATATAATTGTAATCTTACATTCATATGTTTTCTTATCCAATGCAAATCAAACAGTGGACAAGAGGATAATTTATCCTACTAATTCAATTGGATAGTGAATACTACACTAATTTGATGGGATTATTAATACCTTCACTATTAGTCTTGTGAATCAAACATAGCCTAAGTATATTAAATAATATGTTGCTGCTGTTGCTATTGCTGGCAAAAGAGCACATAAGGCTATTTTGTTTCCTTTTTTGTTAGAACATGATATACGAAATCCTTCAGTTCTATTTACATTTTCTCAAAACGAACGGTGTTGGCATCCTTGTTATTTAATGTGCGTGTGATAAGTGTGTGAATAGGGTGTTGTTTGAAGAATAATAAAAAAAAAAATAAAAGGTGTCTGCCATGTGCATGCGTGTGATGAGTGCATTTTTTTTTTTTTTTTAATGAACATTTGCATAGCTGTCCACCGCTCTCCTGGAAACATCTGTGTGTGTCACCCGAAATAAAGAGGGCTCGTACATTTCTACAGAGAGAAGATGACAAATCCATGGAAAGTAGAGGGAAGGCCCTTGAAGGGGAACACTGGTATGCGATTTCGGCCTATGTATTCGTAGGGAATCAAGCGAAGAACCACCGCTACAAAGGCAGTCACGAGTAAGATACAAACTGAGATTGTGGTTTCGATCGCTGATGTTGAACGCGGCTCCGGAGGAGAGAGATGAGGCCGATCCACCGACAAACATTGCTGATGGACGAAGAGGCCAGCGGAGGTCATGACGGTGGGGTCGACAGCATCGACGGCGCAGAAGGCGGAGACGACGTGGGAGGCGGTTTGGAGGCAGTGGAGGCTGAGGATTCGGAGTTGGGCCAGATTTCCGATTGTGTTGGCCGGAATATGACCCACGAGGACGGCGACGGGAAGGCGGAGAGAGCGAGTCGAGCCGTAGACGACGCCGACCCAGTTGCAGGCCGAGTCGGAGGCGTTCCAGTACTGTAACGGATCAGGATCCGAACCCGATTGGGTCTGTGATGGTGGGGCTTCTTTGGCCATAGGGATTCGAGTACCGATACAGACGATGAAGACTCCGCACGAAGTGGTGAAGACGTGCGCAGAGATAGAGAGGAAGCTTGTGTGTTGGAAGATGAGAGGTCCGGCGGGCGGCCGAGGCGAGGCTGCCGCCCGCCGGTGAAGCGAAAAATACGAGGTTCTTAACCTTGCTCTGATACCATGTAAAAAATATATGTATTATTGATTGATGATTTGATGATTGATTGATATTCTGTCTATTACAAATGGTTCCTTATATAGATGTAGGTGTAGTGGATGGTGGTAGTGGTGTAGTGTGTTAGGTTTAGTGGAGTAGGTGAGGTGGTAGTGGTGTAGTGGGTTAGGTTTAGTGGAGTAGGTGAGGTGGTAGTGGTGGTAGGTGATGGTAAATTCTAACAAAAACCATAAAGGTCTTCTCAACTGTCTTCATCCCGCACATCTCAAAGTCTTTCACTCTCTCATGCACAAAGATCTCAGATCTAATTTAGATCTAAATTGCATCCATGGCGACTGGGCTCAAGCAAAGAATGAGGTTGTTGCAAGGTGCAGTGGCCACCACTGCAAGATGGTAGAGGGCGCGGTGGCAGTCGTTGTGAGATGGAGTTCGCAGTGATATAACTATGGTAGCTTTCACAAATAAATCTCTCTTATAGGTTTTTGGAACTCTTCTCTATCCCAGATGTATGTATGTGTGTATATATATACTTATATGTATGTCTATGCTAGGTTTTTAAGTAAAAGGGGAAAAGGATAACCAACCATTCGAAACTGTCTGCAACCCGCTGGTTGACCAAATGAGAGAGACGGTCGGCTTCGAACAGAATGTCAGTTGATGAGGATTAGTGAAATCTCCAACCCGAAAGAGTCAGTTTGAGTCCAGGTTTCTCTTGTAAACTTGAATCGTTTGACCCGTGGGCAACTCTAATTCATTCAGTCTAACTCTCCGAACCTATCACACAAAGCCATACATGTGTCCTAAGAAACCCGAATTAAAGTTGCCAAAAATAAAACAAATCCCAAAAGAGAAAATATTATCAAAATTAATTATTAAACCCTATTGCTTCATCCAATTCCTCTTTGTACCCCATCATTTCACCCGAACTGAAAAAATTTCTCATCTGGAGAATATTGATAATAGAGGCGCTCCAAAAGTTGTAGATCATGGTGGCAAAGCGCTTTCTCAACCCAGATGACCTTGATGACTGGATGAAGTGACCACATTTCCCCCTAAGATTGACTCACTTTGGCTCAAAGGGGAAAGATTCTAGTTATCTAGATTAACTCACTTTTTGGTATATTTTTTTGGAGGATTTGTACATTTCGTAATATGTAGGTGGTTTTGGTTAGCCTTTTGTATGCTTAGTGTATAAATGGTTGCACCCCTTCTGGCATTTGTTTATAATCCATTACATTTACTTATAATATATATATATATATATATTTATATGTGGAGAGTTTATCATAAATAAAATGCTTGCATTCTATTTCTTGATTATTTTCATTTCTGTGAGGAACTCTCTCCTGATGTTTTCTATTTTTCGTAAATATGTGTAGGCACTGCAACGAACTCTAGAATTTGAGGAAGAGTTAGCAGAGAAATTTGGCGATAGCACTCATGGCAGAGAAACAGGAAATGACAATGAAGAAACAGGTAGAGGGGGCAACAACAGTCAAACTGTATCAGATATTCGGAAGAAGTATGAGAAAAAGCTTGCTGCACATCAAGGAAGTGAGAGTGAAGTATGTATTAGTTGATTACTTGACTTAGTTAAAAATGTTGACAAAAAAAATTAGTTGCCAATTTTATTTTCTATTCAGCTGCTTATCGTGTCTTTTTATTTCTTTGTTATTAGGAGAAAGATAGACAAAAGGATTTGGTGCCAGGAGCTGGGGTATGTGCATATCTTCATGGGGATTCTTCTTATAAAATATTTGTTGGTGGTATTAACAATTCTTTGCTGGTAGATCATATGTAAATCTCGAAGTACGCCCCATTAAGCATAAATGCTTGAATATTGAATATTCACCATCTTCATTTGTCTCGTCTGTATGATCTGCTGCATCTCTTTTGAGCAGTGTTACTAAAAAGATTTACTTAAAGAAACATGATGATGTTTCTCATCCCAAATCTACATCACTTAAGGCTACTTTGGTTGCTCATACCACTTTAGCTAAAAACATCATCAATCTTCATTATTTCTGCTGTTTAATGAACAGATGATAACACTGCAATATGTATGGATTTTTTTTCCCTTCAAGTTGTAGTTAATAGTTACATGTCTAGGGACATCAATAATAATGTGAGATATGATTGTGGTGAGACTAACCTTAGACATGTTTGCTACAGTTTTCATTGTTATGTTTTTTACTTGTGAGTTAGTGTTGAGTCTTTTTACTTAGAATTTTAGTTTTGTTCTGCTTTAAGACTTTCAGCTAATAATCTTGCCGCTGAGAATTATCTGTCTGCATTATTGATGTGGCAGTTCAATTTTCATGGAATTGTTTCATCTTGCTTTGAACCTCACTTGACGGTATATGTAGAACTGGAAGAGAGGACTCTTATGGAGAATCTGGAGAAACTTGTTCAGGTTCGACTGTATTATGCTTCATGAAAGCATTTTATTGTTTCCATGTGCTTATATTTCATGATGTAATAATATATATTTATTTCTATAACAGGAGGAAACGTGGGATATTGAAGAGGGAAATCAGACAAATATTTTGCCCAGTAGCATGCAGGTAAACCACCAGAGATTTTTTTAGGAAGTTCTTAGAGGACTGGGTCCTAGGAAGATGATTATAGTTGTTCAATCCAGCACTATGTGTATGTATGCATATCTTTTGGGTTTCTTTAGATTTGCTTGTGGTTTGTATTTAATTGTGGACCCAACATCACAAATTTATGGCAGTTTCAGACAATGGTGGTAATATACCCCCTTTTCCAAAAATAAATTTGTGATAGTTTCATTGATGGTGGACAGTTAGTGTAGCATGCTTACAGGAACAAAACAATACTGGGTATGTAATTTACTATACCTAAAAACATAGACATAGAAATGGTGTAGGGATAATAGTAGCTAAACCACTTACAAGTTAATGTAGTAATAGTCACGAGGAAAGGAGCCAAGATAATACTAATTAAACTTTCTAAATTCATTTGGTCACCCACTCTGCATTCGGATTGCTTGTTTTTTAATTTCATATTTCTATTGCACTATCTTGATTCTTTGTTGTTTTGTAAAGGTCTTTCTGATTATCCGGAGAAGCTTGAAGCGATGCAGTGCATTGACAAAGAGCCAGACATTGTTGAATTTATTCAAGGTAAAACATCATTTAAGTTGTCGTTGTTGGTATGATCACTAGTTTGCATTGATTTTGATTAACATAAATGTGGAATAATTGATTGACATTGTTGTTCTACACTTGGTAGTTTTTATCCATGCTCAGAGCAAATGTAAGTCCGACTTTCTAAGCCTAATAGTAGGAAATGCTGTCATTCCCAAATATTAGCACATTATTTGCTTTAATGTTTCATGGATTGTTTTAAAAGAGAGTAAAAGATTATCTAAATTTTATTCTTAACTTTTGCCTTTCCTACAAACCAATTTCCAAGTTGGTTAGTTCCTATCCCCCTTGAGTTTGCGGGGCTGTTAAAATCCACCTACTCTCCACCTACTTCACCCACTTAAACCTACTCCCAAATGAATGTGATTTACACATTTTAAGTTCTTGACACTTTTTTGACTATTTTTTTTCTGGTACATAGTGTTGTTGAAGTCAAACCTCAACTGACTTGGATTCTTATATTGTCTTATCTACATAATGACTTATCAAGACGCAAACACGCTTCACATTTTTCAATGTCATATGACATCTCACTATTAGAGAGAGTAACAGAGAAACAGAGAGAGTAACAGAGAGGCAAAGCTGGCGGTGAAGAGAATAGAGAGAAGAGAAAGAAGACAACTCATTATGCGTCACATACCCCTTGAAGGAAAAAGACAAAAATATTGCACCATCTCTGCGTGTTCTCATCTCCCTTCCTGTCCTATATATACCCCTCTTCCCCCTTCACATTTTGTGAAGCAACATTTATATGTGTGTGTGAGAGAGAGAGAGAGAGAAAATGGCTGATGACTTTCCTGAAGGGTTGCCACTAGGATGGATTCTAGAACGCAAAGTCCGTAGAGATGGAACTGTGGAGAGGGTGATTCTCAGTTTCTTTATATATGTATAAGCATTCATACCTACAAACATACATGTATATATATGTATATGGGTGTTAACAGTGTCTTTAGGGTACTTACTAACACACTTAAAATTGTTATATATGAGACAACATCCTTTGTACCTAAAATTCATGCTGTATGAATGCCCTTTCAATTGTGCAATCGTGCCTTGAGATTTCTGTGTTTTGAAATTTCTACATTGTTGGGAGTGTATTGAGTATTGGGAAACAAGAATTTTGAGTACAGAGTTATACATTTCCTCACAAACATAGATGATTGTAAAAAGTAAAACGACAACATTTTTTCTTAACCGAATGCTTGCATTTGCACTTCAACAAAAAGCCATTTTGTCTGATGTAATTTGTTTTGTTTTTTTTAATGAGTGCTTAGTCATTCTTGGTTTTTACTATTTTAAATCCATCAAGTTTGCAGTCTTGTGCTGATTTAGCATACTGATGAGTCAGTTCTAAACATCTCTGCTGGCATATGATGGTACCAACAGCTGTACTCATTTTAGTTTGTTGGATTTGCATGCACTTGAATTCATGACATCAGTTTGATGGATTTGTAGTCACTTTCATTGACTTGATTTAGCTGATTTTATAGTTTTTCTTCATGACTTTGTGCAGATTTAATTCGTTGCCTACATTTTTGGATCTGTGTTATAGCTTATAAAAATTTAGTTAATACTTTATGAATACTCAACTCCAATTGCATTGAAAACCAATGTAATGACCATACATATGTAGCACTTTTTTGGCATATTAACTTCCACAAGAAGTGCAATTAATGGTCTTTTTAATATTACTCTAAATACTTCTACATTATTCAATTCACACCCTGGAGAACGAAAATCTTCATGAACAGAATAGATGCTCTGTGCAATTAATGGTCATATTTAGTGCCAACTCACTTTGTATTAATGTGGGTCCCACTTTTTTCATGTCGTGAGATATCTTTTTTAATATGGCATTACTTTTAAAAAATGTTTTAGGTAATTAATGGTCATTGTTTGTCTTCATTGTTATGCTTGATAATAATCTTTGCTTCTTCTTTGCGAGTCTCAAGTGATAATTTTAACATATAGTACCGTTGTTTTTAGATTTTAAAGAATGTTATAGGAACAGCAAAGGAGTATACGTGGAGCGACCATGGGAGACTGGTATGTTACATACTCTACTACTTTGGTCCTTCTTTGGTATTGTTGTAGTTTTTTTTTTTCTTTTTTTTTATAGGAATCAATGTCATTGTGTTTGGTACAACTTCTTCTTATAGTTTATGAAGTTAAAATAATTCATATAAACTGAAAATGATTATTTGAAATTTGATGGATAAATAGTTTTAATTTTTTAGCTCGGCTGAAAAATTCGAGGGTTTTTAGCTCGGCTGGGACAGCTTAAAACGGCGTCAGCTCGGCTGATGGACTGGTAATCCCAATCATGCTATGCAGATGGAATTAAGGGGCAATTGAGAGGGTAATTTTTGGGAAAAATTGGGCCGAGCTGCGAGTTGGGCATTGTGGCCCCAAGTATGAAGGACTTATTAAAAGGCTGTAATGTTATTCCGGCCTCGAAGAGGTATAGTTACTCCGGCTCAGGAGGGGTATTATTACTTCGGCCCAGATGATGTAAAGCTACTCCGGTCCGGTGGTGATGTCTCCTGAATAGGTCGGTCTGGCGGTACCTTTGAGTTAGACTGACCTAGGAGTTATACCGGTCGCAATTTGTTAAAGTCTGGTCCAACCGTGCCATGGGTTGATAGGAGAGAACCGAGGTAAGTAGGAAGTAAAAGCAGAACCGAACTAAGGAAGTTCGGCCTACTCAGTGGCTCTACATAGACAAGTTATTTCGGTCATATGGTAATTCTGCCATGATGAAGACCATCCCACTTGGTTTAAGCAGTGGGGGGGGGGGTGTAAAAGGATAGGCATTATCCTTAGGAGAATGAATCCAGGGAGGACTCTGCATGGAGGAGTACAAGTCCTACTAGGATTGTGCTACTCGAAACCTATAAAAGCTCACAAACATCACCTTGGAGGGGGTAACAGAACACAACTTTGCTTTTTGAGTACTCAGAGCTTTGTCTATTTGTCAAGCTTACTGACTTAAACATCGGAGAGGTTTCCGGCACACACCCGCCGGCTAGCTCACGTTTGTGTTTTCAGGTGATAAAGCGACGTCGTACGGAGAAGCGTGGACTTGGTCAACAGGATTATACGAAAGGAGAAATTATTTCCTCCCGTAACAATTGGGCGCCGTCTGTGGAAGAACAGACAAGAACAAAAACCTCTTGACTAAGCTTCTCCTTTTCTCATTCAATGGCACACATTGAAGACTTGCCACAGTCCGCCGTCGACGACTAACTCCAGAGGGGGGCGCAAGGCGCGAAGGATTACCCCTCTGTCCCTCCGTATGGTAGATCTGAGAGCCCCAACAACATAACTCCAGGAGGAGTGGCAGGGGGAAGGCGGAATAGAGCCCTCGACATTCTCAGAGCCTGACAGGCAAAAGGAGGAGGATGGATCCTCAAGCCCGGAAGATCGCGTAAAGGAACAGGATGAACTAATTCGAAGGATGGCGGCGACATGGAGGCTTTGAAACGCCAGAATGAAGACTAAAGATGTGGCGACAGGAGAGGGGCGCAAGCAACAAGACGCCCCCTCGCCACTCAGAGAATCGTAGTAGGAATACTACACCCTCCAAGGAGAGAGCAGAAAGCCTCAGACAGGCGACACTTCACTCCTTATCTTCAAGACTCGTCACTCCAGGTCTGAGAGGGCAGAGATCCGAAAGATCATAACATGAAGAAGCACGCATTGGCCTTCACATTCACACCAAACCAATGATCCAGACAAACAGAGCTGCCCAGGTCATCCGACTTACGACCGTGCTAGAAGAAAAAGCACGATGCAAGGAGGATGCCAAGGCAAGAGATCCACACCGAGTTTCGGCTTACAAACGGTTGGCTCCTCCGGACGCATGGAAGCGTCGAGGTTTGGAATGCCAAATACCGCGACCGGCCTACGAACCAACGGACAAGGCAATTGGCAAAACACCAGACTTCGGCGTGTTGTCCGCGATCGAAAGACGCAACCCCTACCATCAAGGCTCTCCTTCAGCGAAATTCAATACATATGAATGGAAAGCGGACCCGTTTCAACACGTTGAGCCACTTTTGCGCCAAAGTCTGTGATGAGCTGTGTACAGGACGAATACGAGGCTTAGCTTAATGTGCATACTCTTCCCATCAAGTCTGGGCGACCTAGGCTTGACTTGGTTTCGAAAA